ACTGCAGGAAAGTGGGCTTCCCCCTGTTTTGTAGAGCCCCCATGCATTTGAGGGATGACTGTCAGCAATACAAATATTGCACAAAGAAGCAACGAGGTCATTCCCCGGGGCCCGTTTCAGCCTGGCATGGAAGCTCACGAACATTGCCATATTGACATGAGCACATCCCCTCTCACAAGTTTAGGCATGACTGGTTCCCTGGCAAAGACGGATAAAGCAAGCAACGCATCAAACCATAACGGCAGAGTATCCCCCTGTTTATGTCATGCCCCCAAGGATGAAACGCAACATGGCTGAGTGGGCCTTTACAGTGCCTGTAGAACTCGACAGTACACAAGACGCTGAGAACAGGATTACCACTAGCTGCGCAAAGGCCCCCAGGCTGCCACTCAACACTACTCAAGGTGGAGGCATATCAGGAGCGACGTCCCTCTCTCTCTCTCTGCCCCCTCGCCTCTGTATGTATGTATTTCTCGACCTTTGCTACTATGTACTTACACACATAAGCCGAAAGCTTCAGGCTTTAGACTTAGTTTCTGTGCTTCCACGGAGCCGAACAGTAGACAACAGCACTTCTGCACAACCACAGTCAATATATCATCACAGCTTCTCCCAGAACAGAGAGCAAGTGAACCAAACCAGCACTCTGAAGTGCAGCTTTGCACCTTGGAGTTGTGATGACCTCGGCACTACACGTCTGCGAGCGACCGCTATCTGCCCCCTGCCGCACGACGTGCCTAAAGGCAGGCACATTTCCAGCAGGTTCTTTCCATGCAAGGCTAAACTTGAGCTGCTCTCTACACAACAAGGCCAACCCTGAACCGGATGGGGAAAGGTGGAGGCAGGTATTGTTTCGAACACCAATGGCCAGGCTCCGGGCAACAGCCGGCATTTGTCCAAAACATGTCGCTGGTATCTTTCACCTGGTGTTGCCGGAAATCAACCCCATCGGCTTGCAGACTACATACACGACACCTGTCTATTTCACATGCGGATACGTGTTACTCCTATCAGCCACGGTGAGTTGCGGCTGGCCTCGATGCAGCAACACTTGGTGTCATTGAAACATAGCCTCGTGCAGCTGAGACTTTGAGAACAACTTTGGGTCCGGATTCGCTCACCCATGCGGCAGGCTTCTTCGGTCGCCAGACAGACCTACCCAGGACCTTCAGCCTCGCCTGCCGAGACAGCTTCTGCGACCTCTGGAGAAGAATTTCTCAAAGGGAGCTTCTGTGCGGCTGCAAGAGGATGCGCTGCCGGCGTGCCAAGGATGAGGTGCATGCAAGGCGCGGACTGGTTGGTGCACAACCTGTTCCTGGCCAGGATGCGGAACATGGCATTCGCTTACGACGGTGCTGCTCGAAGTTGTAGGCTGAACCATGTCTGCTACAAGTCACGGCTCCTAGCATCCAAGGGGCTTCAGCTTCATGTACCTTTGGCACGTGCCCGACTAGTCGCTTCTATGAGGACTCCAGTTACTGCACCTCTTGGCGGTCGGACCGCGCCGGCATGCGCTTGTCCGCAGGCACCAACTTTTATCGTGGCCTCGCAAAACCTTGGACCCTACGACCCCGACCCTGCAGCTGCCGCCGGTTCCGCCTCCGCAGCAACAGTAGTAGCACCAGAACACCTGCCAGGTTCTGCCGAGACGAACAAACCCAGTTTCTACAGCATCGGGCTTGTTTGGCTGCATGGTGAATTCCTGGCACTCTCTCTCTCTCTCTCGTCTCTCTCTCTCTCTCTCTCTCTCTCTCGCTCTCGCAAGGTAAGTTCATGCTTCGTCTCATGGAGATGCCGTCACGGGCCAATGTCCGCATGCAGACTCTTTGCTTTTAGGCTGTCGCTGCCTGTCCTTGCAAGTGGGCGCAGTTCTCGTCTTTCCATCTTCCCTTTTCTTGTTGCTATCTTTCTTCTCTGGGGTGCGCGGCGATTCAGGCCTCCCGTATCACAGGTGTCATGGTATTTGCAAGTTATACAGCCCTGCGGGGTCATCATTCTTCTTCGCCGCAGACGGAGAGCGTAGTATCTGCCCGACCCCTGCCCGATTCCGCGTCCTGGCTGTGGGCCCGTGCATCTCTCCCACTGGTCTAAAGGTAGAAACATGCAAATTTTATGTGCAAGCATCTGCGTCTCTTACTGCGAAAAGTCCTCCTCCTTGCCTAGCTCTGCTCGAGCCTTGCCTCCTCCATGAAGGCAGCCTCCCGATCGTTAACCAGACGGCCCTCTCCGTAGGGGCGGCCCAGAATGAAGACCGACTTAGCAGTGAAGTTCAGGATGCGCACTCGCGGAATGAAGCAGGAGCTTGATTTGGGCTGTTTCGTGTGGATCGAGCAGTTGGCAAGGTCTGCAGGACACGGGGTCTGGATGGGCTTGTGGTCCACAAGTCTATCTAAATGTGCATGTGTCTATATATATATATATACAGTCGGATCCACGGGATTGTGTTGTGGGTGTTCGTCTGGCTGCTCAAGTAGAAACACATGCATTCCTTGTAGTGCCTCCCTTTTTTGCTTCGGGACTCCATGGCGATGCCAACCGCAAAAGGAGATAAAGGAGGCACTAAGATAAGCAACAAGAAACAAGCCCTTGGGGGCAGAACAGCGCTTTCAGCCCATGCCCCGTACGAGCGTTTCCCAATATTTCTCATACGAGTACTGCACGATGCCTGATAAACACAAACACTGCGCGGAGATAGCGACGGGCTCGACGGCAACTACAGATGGTGCGCACCTGCTTTTCAGGAAAAACGACAGCACGGTTGGATTCATGTCCTTGGACCTGGCCAGGATGTTGCAATCGTGGTGTGTTGCAGCCAATCCGAACCCTTTAGCTGTCGTTCCATCGACTTAGGCTAGCTACAGGAGGGGCAAAAGGCTGAGGCACCTCAATAAACCGACTGCTCCTTGCATGCCGAGCAGCACAGCAGCCTATGGCCATGTTGTTCAGGGAGCACGCCTGACGCAAAATTCACGCAAAGCCGTGATCAGGGAACTGACTCGACTCTTGAAACTTTAGGCCCCCAAACCATCCCAGGTTGGATAGCGTTTGATGCTATCCGGCCTCAACGCAGCACAACGCCTTCCCAAACGACGTCAGGCATCCCTGCAGCAGCACTCACTCACTCACTCAGGAACTGATGAAACGGCTGTCGGCAGGAGCACCACTGGTACTGCACAGCCTTCTGGCCACAGCACTCCTCGCCCGACGTACAGCCGCCGGACATGCAACAGAACCTCATCTGGGTAGTTGTCAAAATTATGGTCCCTTTTGGGGTACCCTAAATAATAGGTGCCGTATGATAATAGGGACCCAAAAAGGAACCATAATTTTGACAACTACCCATCAACAGCTGGCAGTTCGGGATTTCCCTTTGAAACCTCTTGGACTGGCGGCCGACAATGGCCAGGGCACCATTCCGGAAAACATGTCTGGGGGGTACCTTATTTTGGGGTCCTTATAATAAGGATCCTATTATTTAGGGTACTATATTAGGGTCCCCTAGTTTCGGAAACTTCCATGTGACTGAGAAAGTTAGCACGGGCACTTGTGCCGGTCGAGGCAGCATGGGTCGTCACACGCTGTGCAGGAAAGGCCCCAGCAGCAGCCTTAGCGATTAATTGCGGCAACACTAATACCTCACTGTCATTGCTTGTATCGAGATCCATCGCACCTACCCTGAACGGCCGGTATGGCATGTTTTGAGCATCGTGCTCACCCAAGGGGAATGAAACTGCCAAACCGCGCTGCAAAAACCAAGTCTGAGTCTAATCAAGTCGCAGCTCAGCAGGTGACAGGACTTGTCTTCGATCTCTGCGAACTGCGCTTCAAACGCCATGGCTCTTGTGGTCTGACCCTCACTGCTAAACAATGAAGCAACATTTTGAACACCCTCATCTGCCAAATGGAAAATCCGACTCTCTGTTGCCTACAGCCTGCACTGGACATGTTGACCATATTCAAAACAGATTTGGTGAATGCCGGATATGTAATTAAGCCGGGATCCCCAAACCGCTCATTGCGCCCTACGAACTGAAATTGGAAGCGTGTCGTGGATTCTGGCAGCTTTCCAAAGCGGACGGCTGGAACCATCTTCTCGCCTGCCCCGCAGCTCGCATGCTGGGTGTAGCTGTGTGGGTGTGTGAATGTACGTATGCATGTATGTCGGTATGTGTCTGTATACATAAGCATACATGTTTGCATACATATACGCGCGCGCGTGTGTGCGTGTGTATCTGTCTGTGTCTGTCTGTCTCTCTGTCTCTGTCTCTGTCTCTGTCTCTGTCTCTGTCTCTGTCTCTGTCTCTGTCTCTGTCTCTGTTTCTGTCTGTCTGTGTTTGTGTGTGTGTGTGTGAGTGCGAGTGCGTGTGTGTGTGTGTGTATGCATGTGTGTATGTAGGTATGTATGTATGTGTATACACATATAGTATATATACATATATACTTGCTTATTTCTTTGTACTTATATTTATATTTATATTTATACTTGCTTATTTATAGATGCGCTTGTGTGTCTACATGTGTGTGTGTGTTGGTGTGTGTGTGTGTGTGTCTGTATGTGTCTATGTGTGTATGCATGCATGTATGTATGCAATTAATGTATGTATACACGTAAACAGGTGTATATATATATCTATATATATATATATGTATGCATATATATATATATACACATATGTATATCATACATGTGTACGGCTATCCTACGTTTCAATACAACAGACGAGTTTTTAGACACTCGCTCTCGACCAGGTCATGCACGGCTTAGGGAGACAACAAACACATCTTCAATCAAAGATACAGCAAGTACCCATGTAGTATGATGTATACTTGATATCATACAGCCTTGCTTTTGTATATTTACATCTCTTCCTATCAGGGAAGCGTCGGTCTCCCGAGGGTACCTTCATAGCAGTAAGGCATGATATACCCCCAAACCGCGTGCTGATTATCAAGGCCTTTGACTTTCCCACCTTCCTAGCATCCAGGTGCGAGACGTCCAGGTGATCTTGCAAGAGAGGAGGTGGGTGCTGCATGGTTTGCCTGAACGACATCGGAACTGATATGTAGGTCGACAAAACTGACGCGAAGCAAAGAAAGAATGATGGTCTTCGTCATGAGTAGTCACCAGTAATTGCGGTTGTTATACTGTGGTAATGCTGATCTGATTGGTTCATGTAGGGGCCTCAATAATTAGCATAGGGTTTTGGGGTATATTATACCATAATGATAATAGGGAACCCCCAAAATAGTATACAGATTGTAGGTACTCTATAGTATTAGTGTTGCTGGTAAGTGGGGTGAAGGCTCCAAAGGGTGCTGCAGAGAATCCTCAAGAGCCCTGCTCAAACCAAGCCGGCGCACGGATAGGGCAGTCCGTCGAAAAGCCAAAAGCCACCATCGACCTGCAAGTTTCGGTTTTAGGGCTTAGGGCCTAGGGGTTTAGGGTCTAGGGTTTAGGGTTGAACCAATCAACCGATGACGATCGATAAAGAAGCACGGCTTGTGTAGGCTTGGTGACACCAAGCTAGCATGTACATCATGACTGCAGCCCAAGAAAGGTCGAACTCTAGACGGCAGGCCTGACCGTCCACGCAGAGTCCTCCAAACATTTGCGCATAAGCCTGCACATGCGACGAAGCATGATAGTATGGGCTGGGCTCATGGGTTCTTTGCTTCCTGAACTCTCCCCATATGGTTCGTGCTGAAAAACTATTTGGGTAGTAGTTTTACTTGCTTATGATGAATACAATAGGGTACCCAAGACTAGCTCATCCGGCTTTGTGCCGCGAGCCAACGATCACCGATTCGGCTTCCGCTGTCTCATCTTTAGTTAGACCGGGGAATTCTTGACTACTTACCTCTAACAAACTCGCTTGGTGACAGGTTGGCTGCTGCTTCAAAGGGCGGTGCAGTAAGGGCCGAGAACCGGGCGGGTAGGTTCCGGTAGATCAGCGCTCCTGGCAAGGGTTTCTGCCTCTGCTTCGTTTTGCGAGATTCTCCGGTTTTGCAGCTACCTGTATCGGCGGAAAAGTGGCCATTTTCTCCCTCACGGGCGCTCCTTCCAGTTCGCCCACCGCGCCAATCGGCTCACCCTGGCAGAGGACAGATCCAAGCATGCATCGCATGAGGAGTAAATCTACACCAGCGGCGGCACTCTCTGAGCCTGTGCCCAGTCACTAGCACCTTCCGTGCATGTGAAGGTGACCGGCACCTGCACGGAGCGGAGGGATGCTCTTGAGCGTTCAGAGGCGGCTGGAAGCATTCTAGATGAAATTCGGCTGAGTCCTGCAAAAGCAAACGTCGTCCGTGTGGTAAAACATAAACCGCTATAAGATTCAAGATGCAAAAATGCATAACAGCCGGCCGCAAGAACAACAACACTCACAACACAGGCCCCATGTTGTAGCTTTCCCGATGCTGCAAAGCCTCATGACGCCGCATGATGCCAGGAGCTTTCAGTCCCATCCCTCATCTCTTGTCTGACAGACGCACAGCAAAGCTGACTACAGTCCTCATCTCAAAGGTATAAACCCTTCCACCACGAACCCCAAGCCCTCTTTCAACCCTGGCGTTCTGCGACTTCAACTTACAAAATCCTAAACCCTAACCCCCTATGATAACTCAAACTGTTTTGTTTTTTTTGCATCTGGCCTTGCGCAAAAACACCGAATCCCCCCAAACCCTACAAATAAAATCCCTGAAACCTGGAAATCCTGGAGGCCCCACCGGGCCTTGAAAGGCACTCGCGTGTCCGGCCGCGGGCAGAAGGCCTTGCGGAACTCCAAGATCGCCTCCCCAGCAGGATTTCGGTATCATTATGATATATATATATATATATATATATGTGTGCGTGTGTGTGTGTGTGTGTATATATATATATATATGTATATATGTGTATATATATATAAGATATATACATATATAACTGTGTGTACAGATATATGCACCTGTAGTGTATTGCACTACCTTAAAATAGTCGTTGCAATATATTGCATAATGTTCTAGTTGTCTTGGTGGTTGAATGTTAGGTTGTCATATAGTGCAATACAGTACAATACTTATAAATATATATATATATATTATTTATATTTGTATTTATTTCTTTGTTTATTTACTTAACTATATTGCATTATATGTTTCAGTGGTCATCAATCTCATGTGCTTGCCTCCCGCATTGCTGAGCGAGCCACTTGGCAACATGTTACAGGTAGTGGACAATCCAGCGAACTCACATGCTGCTGATGCTTCATGCGTCAGGAAGCTTATATTATATACCCTCAAGGGTTCAGACTCTCGCAAATGAGAGGCTTCTTAACTATGGATGTGGAGATTGGGGAGATTCGGGCACAGGGTTGGAACGGAAAGGGCCTTATTAAATTGTGTAGGGAGGCCGTCGGCCGAAGCCACGAGCATTTAGACGCGGCAGCAGTATATACGTGTGTATGTATATATATATATATACAATTATAAACATAAATAAATATACATACATGTATATATATATATATATACATATGTGTGCGTGTGTGTGTGTGTGTATATGTGTATATTTGTATATACATGTATACATATATATATATATGTGTGTGTGTGTGTGTATATATATATACGGCGCCTACTTTTAAACACCCGGACATTTAAACAGCTTAAACAGATCATTTGCACTAGGTCTGGCAGCAGTGGCTTGGGGCCGCCCAATTTTAAAACATCCGGAAGTTTTGCTTCGTTGCCCCCTCCACCTACCTTCCATCCTTTGCCCTCCAGCCTTGCAGCCTTCGCCAGCCCCTGCAGCCCTCCAGCCTGTTCGTTCTTTCTTCCAAGCTTTTAATCCTTGCAGCCTTCTCCAGCCCTCCAGCCTTCCAGCCTGCCTCCCCTCCAGCCTTCCGCCCTCCTTCCAGCCTTCCAGCCTTCAAGGCCTTCCAGCCCTCCAACCTTTCGCTTGCAGCCTCCAGCCCTCCAGCCCTCCAGGCCCTCCAGCCCCTCGCCCTGCGAAGGCTGGAAGGCTGGAGGCTGGAAGGCTGGAAGGCTGGAAGGCTGGAAGGCTGGAAGGCTGGAAGGCTGGAAGGCTGGAAGGCTGGAAGGCTGGAAGGCTGGAGGGCTGGAGGGCTGGAAGGCTGGAGGCTGCTG